TGAAATGCTCCAACGCTTACAGCGATGGGTGGCGGTTCTTCTCAAGCTGGGCCTATCGTCCAAACGCCGCGCACATTCGTCTTAACGGCGGACGACGACGACTTCTCAAATGAGGGCTCTCGATTGAGACTGTGTTGCATTATGTTTCCTACCATCCTGTGGTGTTGTGTCTTCGCTTTGATGCAACAGCGCCCCGCGTTCACTTCTCATCCTCCCGTTGCCCCCTCCCTCCTCCTCTCATCATCATCATCGTCATCATCATCATCAACAACAACAACAACAGCAGCATCGTAATCACTCGTTTCAGCACACCCCTCACACGTTTCGTGGCCCGCTAGCGAGCCCCACCGAAGGCCCGAATGCCAGCGTTCGCATGCGGTCACAGCACCCATTCTGGCTCACACCTCACACGTTTCGTGGCCCCACAAGGGAACCCACCGAAGGCCCAAATGCCCGCGTTCGCATGCGGCCACCGCACCAATGTTGGAACACCCTTCACACGCTGCGTGGCCCTATAGGGAGCCCCACCGAAGGCCCAAATGCTGTCGTTCGCATGCGGCCACGGCACCCATTTTGGCACACACAATCACCTCAAACGTTTCGTGGCCCCACAGGGAGCCCCACCGAAGGCCCAAATGCCAGCGTTCGCATGCGGTCACCGCACCTATTTTGGCGCACCCCTCACACGTTTCGTGGCCCCACAGGGAGCCCCACCGAAGGCCTCAATGCCACCGTTCGCACGCGGCCACGGCACAAATTTTGGCACACCCCTCACACGCTTCATGGCTCCATAGAAAACCCCTACCGAAGGCCTGAAGGACACCGTCCGCACGCGGCCACCGCACCAATTTTGGCGCACCCCTCACACGTTTCGTGGCCCCACAGGGAGCCTTTGAGTTTGTCGCGGGCGGCATGTATGGAGGTGGGTCTGGACGCCACGACGGATGACCTTGTATACTCTATCTGGCGCTTGGGCCGTCAACTCCACCTTAGTGGAAGGATTTGGCCCTTCAACTGAATTTAAATGAAAGGATTTGGCCGTCAACTCCGAGTTGACGAACCCCCCTATGGACGGCCTCCTGCCGAGATGACGAACCCCCTTGACTGCCTCTCTCCGAGCTGACAAATGCCCTTGACGGCTCCCTCCAAGTTGACGAACCCCCTTGACGAATCCTCTTGACGGCCGCCCTCTGGGTTGACGAACCCCCGTAACGGCCTCCCTCCAAGTTGATGAACCCCCTTGACGGCCCCCCTCGCCGCCCCCTCAGTCTTGACGAACAAAGCGTCGGGGGCGAGCTGATGGTTAAAAACGACCTCGGTCTTGACGAACCAAGTGTCGGGGCCGAGTTGGCGGCTCCTCTCGCCTTGACGAACGAACTGTTGGGCTGAATTGACGACTGCTTTGGCCTTAGCGAACGTAGTCGGGGGGCCGACTTGACGATCGCTGCGGGCGCTACTCCGGACCTGCGCCGTCTCAGCCGCTGGGTTGGACTCAAGGAAATCCCCGTCCAAATGCCACCGCTCGCATGCGGTCACCGCGCCCTTTGTGGCGCACCCCTCATACTTTTTCGTGGCCCCACAAGAAACCCACTGACAGACCACATACCAGCGTTCGCATACGGTTTCCGCCCATGTTGACCCCTCACGCGTTTCGTGGCCCCATGGGGGGCCCCACCGAAGGCCCACATGCCAGTGTTCGCACGCGGTCACCGCACCCAATTTGGCACACCCCTCACACGTTTCGTGGCCACACAGGGAGCCCCACCGAAGGCTCAAATGCCAGCGATCTTATGCGGCCACCGCACCCATTTTGGCACACCCCTCGCACGCTTCGTGGCCCCATGGAGACCACTACCGAAGGCATCAACGCCAGCGTTCTCATGCGGCCACCGCACCTATTTTGGCTCACACCTCACACGTTTCGTGGCCCCACAAGGGAACACCACCGAGGGCTCAAATGCCAGCGCTCGCACGCGGCCACCGCACCCATGGTGGCGCACCCCTCACGCGTTTCGTGGCCACACAGCGAACACCACCGAAGGCCCAAATGCCAGCGCTCGCACGCGGCCACCGCACCCATGTTGGCGCACACCTCACGCGTTTCGTGACCACACAGGGAGCCCCACCGAAGGCCCAAATGCCAGCGCTCGCATGCGGCCACCGCACCCATGTTGGCGCACCCCTCATGCGTTTCGTGACCACACAAGGAGCCCCACCGAAGGCCCAAATGCCAGCGCTCGCATTTGGCCACCGCACCCACCCCTCCTACGCTTCGTGGCCTCAGAGGAAGCCCCACCGAAAGCCCACATGCCAGCGCTCGCATGCACCCACCGCGCCCATTGCGGCACACCCCTCAGACGCTTGGTGGCCCCATAGGGAGCTCCACCGAATGCGGTGCATACAACGGCGGTGCTCACAACTGGTGGGCCCCTCGCCAGGCTAAGTTTCCCAACCATCCTTTGGTGTTGGGCCCTCGGTCTGAAGAGACGGTCCTCGCGTCCACTGCTCATCCTCCCGCTGCCCCCTCCTTCTCCCTCCTCTCATCATCCTCATCATCAGCATCCTCATCATCATCAGCATCATCACCAGCATCATCATCAACATCATCATCACCATCACCATCATCATCAACAAACTCATCATCAATATCGTCATCAGCATTGTCACCACCCGTTTCAACACACCCCTCGCACATTCCGCGACCCCTCAAGAAGCCCCACCGAAGGACCAAACGCCAACGTTCGCATGCGGCCACCGCACCCATGTTGGCACACTTCTCAGACGCTTCGTGGCACCACAGGGAGCCCCACCGAAAGCCCAAATGCCAGTGTTCGCACGCGGTCCACACACCCAATTTGGCACACCCCTCACACGTTTCGTGGCCCCAGAGGGGGCCCCACCGAAGGCTCACATACCAGCGTTCGCACGCGCCCACCGCATCCATTTTGGCACACCCCTCACACGTTTCGTGGCCCCATAGGGGGCCCCACCGGACGCCCCAATTCCAGGATTCCCACGCGGCCACCGCACCCATTCTGGCACACCCCTCACACGTTCCGTGGCCTCTCAAGGAGCCCCACCGAAGGCCCAAATGCCAGCGTTCGCACGCGGCCACCGCAACACTCCTCACACGCTTCGTGGCCCCACAGGAAGCCCCACCGAAGGCCTAAAATCAAGCGTTCGCATGTGGTCACCGCACCCGTTCTGGCACACCCTTCGAACGTTATGTGGCCCCACAGAGAACCCCACCGAGGGCCTAAATGCCGCTGCTCGCAAGCGGTCACTCCGCCCATTTTTGCACACTCCTTTCACGCTTCGAGGCCCTAGAGGGAGCCTCACCGAAGGCCTACATGCCAGCGTTCACATGCGGTCACCGCACCCATTTTGGCGCACCCCTCACACGTTCCGTGGCCCCTCAAGGAGCCCCACCGAAAGCCCAAGTGCCAGCGCTCGCATGCGCCCACCGCGTCCATTTTGGCACACCCCTCACACGTTGTGTGGCCCCACAGGGAACCCCACCGAAGGCCCAAATGCCAGCGTTCGCATGCGGCCACCACGCCTTTTTTTGCACACTCCTCACACGGTTCGTGGCCCCACAGGGCCCGAATGCCAGCGTTCACATGCGGCCGCCGCACCAATTTTGGCACACCCCTCGCACGCTTCGTGACCCCATAATGAGCCCCACCGATGGCCCACATGCCAGCTTTCGCAGGCACCCGCTGCGCCCATTTTGGCGCACCCCTCGCAGGTTTGGTGGCCCCATAGGGAACTCAACCGAATGCGGTGCATACTACGACGGTGCTCACAACTGCACATGGTCGGGTCCTTCGCCAGGCTAATTTGTTTCTCCTGACGCGCCCCTGATCGAGATGCCAACCAAGTGCCATATCACACCAATTGCAAAGTACACAACATGATAACGAAACGAACTCTCAATCTCATGAAACCTCACTGTCTTCACCCAAGTTTCGGTGCACCCATGCCGTGGCGTGGAAGGCAGATCTCGCGCTAGACATGTGCACGCCGAGGTGGCCAAGCCTGGCCGCCGAAGAAGACGGCAGCAACGCCCTGGCCATCCACAAAGCCACCATCGCAATGACCCTGCAGAGTCCCGCCCTGCGCAACAGCATCGCATATCCGGTCTAGATCGAGATCGTGAAAATCTGTCGTGGACGCCAACACCCACTTACATACAATATCAGGTGGGGAACTATACCCTCGCGGAAACCCGTCAACAGGGTTCAGACAAGTTGTTTGGGCTCGAAGCAAGATGCGCAAACACCTCGCAATGCATCCAAAATCTCACACGCAGCCTTGTGGTAGATAGGATTACAAACGGGGGCCTCCGCGTTGGCCGACGACGCACCTGTGGAGTTGTCCACAACGAACTCGATTTGGGGCAAAACGTTGACACTCCACAAGAGGTCCCGCTGCATCTGCAATGGCAACTGAAACTCGAGACGCTTGGCGCTTTGCTGAGATGCATGTCTGTCGTGAGCTGGGGTCGGCGTCGCCCCCTGCACATCCGGAGATGGGCATGGAAGACGCAAAGAACTGCATACCTCGCGTACGGAATCCTTGCAGCCTTTGCACCATGTTTCCTTGTCTGGGCAATCATCCAATCGGCGTCGCCAATCTGGGCCCCAGATTCGGCACAACGAATTGTCGGATGCAACATGCGGGCCCAGACGCGCGTGGACCATGCCACACGTCTTTCTACGCCTGCTAACGGGCCCATCCTGGACCAGGCCGCACTGCATGATGCCCTGGCCCGTCCGGAGAATATGCAGCGTCTCGGCCACCGTGCGTTCGCGCCACAGCTGCTTGAACACGCGTTTCGCTCCTGCTTGAACACGCGTTCAAACGACGTGCGCGTGTGGAAAGGGACGCATCCAAAATATGGCATCCACCTCCGTAGTTTGACATGCTCTCGCTTGGTGAACTGGCACCTGGACTCATTATCTTTCCTTCGCCAACGAAACATGTTCACGAGATGCTTCCTATTCCCACCGCGCAATTTCATGCAAACAACGCAAGTTCTCATAACGCATGGACAGGAGATAACTTGCGGAAAGCCTGGGCGAACCCGTAAACGCGCTCAGCTTGATCTGAAAAGGCTGCTTGCTCAAAGGATGCTTACCATACTTGTAGATGCACTTGTCCCCCTTCGCGAGCCGATAACGAATCATAGCCACATTCAGACCGTTGGCGTCCCACATCCCACCCAGAGCGATCATGGAAAACACGATCTTGCACTTCAGGATGCCACTGGGAATCGGCACCGTGAAAATTGTTCCGGGACACGCACATCTCACGAATATCATTTCTAATGAGCTCGGCTTCCACTGCCATCCAAAACGCGCAACGATCCATTGAGCCAACGATGTGATCATGAATGCAAACTGTTCCAACGACTCCGCGAGGATGCAACAGTTCTCTACCCAAAACACTGCTGGAACCCTCCGGCCATGAACCTTGACTTGACATCCAAGGCCTAGGAGCTCCCATTCCTGAACGACGATCCCCAAGCACTCTTCAATCAGCCTAACGAAAATGCGCGGGTCTGCCTTGCCCCCGTGCGAAGAGCCTTTGTCCGTGCAAAAAGTTATGTAGAAGCAACGCCTGGGATACTAAGTTGCACAGTGCTTCGATGCATCTCTCTCGCCATCGCGAGAACCTGGTGCGGCATTGCCCCCATGAGACTCGATGACATCTCGGTGCCGTGCGCTGTCGCACGTCGTGCAGAGATCTTGGAACCCCAAAACCAAACTACAGTCCGCCCGGGTGTTGGCATAGATTATCGCTTCGAGCAAGATGCCAAATAAATCGTCCACGGAACAAGCCTCATGACAACATTATCCCAGTGCGACCCTAGATAGGAGTTGGAGGATCTGGGAAAGCAACATCTATAGGAAGCTAAGCTAAGCTAAGATGAAGCTAAGCTAAGATGAAATAAGCTAAACTAAGATGAGATAAGCAACGCTAAGCTAAGGGAACGTCACTGGGGGAACCGCGGGGCGGATGCCGGGGGAACCGCCCGGGGCGAGCCCCACTGCCCGGCCCTTTAAGCTTAGCTATGCTATGCTAAGCTGCGCTGTGCGATGCTATGGTATGCTATGCTATGCTATGCTATGCTGCGCTATGCGATGCTATGGTTGGCTATATTATGCTATGCTATGTTATGTTAATGCAGCGCTGCGCTATGCTAGGTTAAGCTAAGCTAAGCTAAGCTAAGCTAAGCTAAGCTAAGCTAAGCTAACCCTCTAAGCAGGGCCTAGGTAGGGAATTACACCCATGCTATGATATGCGATGCTGCGCTATGCTATGCTACGCTATGCTATGTTATGCTGTGCTCTGCTATGCTAGAGCTCAGCGAAGCTAAGATGAAGGTACGCTAGCTAAGCTAAACCTGAGCTAAGATGAAGCTAAGCTAAGCTAAGATGAAAGAAGCTAACCTAAGATGAGATAAGCAACGCTAAGCTAAGGGGACGTAACTGGGGGAACCCCGGGGCCGATACTGGGGGAACGGCCCGGGGCGTGGAACACTGCCCAGACCCTTTAAGCACACCGAGTAAGAATCCTTCTAGGCAGAGCCTAGGCAGGGAAAAAGCTGAGCACAACACCCGCTGGCCGAATAGAACGACGCACGGCCTCATTGAACGACTTGTATAGGTGATCCATGATTCCAAACCATCGGAAATGCTCCAACGACTCGGAGTGCGAAGATTTTAGAATGCCACGTAGCAGAAAGTTTTTCCAAGTAGCAACATCTTCTGTGCGCCATCGGATGTCACAAAACCGCTTCGTTAACAAGTCGTAGATTCTGAATTTCAATTATCCCAGTGCGACCCTACCTAGGAGTTGGAGCATTTAGGAAAGCAACATCTACATCTACACCGACAGCTACATTTACATCTGCACCTGCATCTACATCTACATCAGCATCAACAGCGAGACTCACATATACGTCTACATCTACACCTGCATCTACTCCTACATCTACATCTACATCTACATCTACACCTACATCCACATCTACATCTACACCTACATCTACATCTACACTTTCGCATTGGGTTTGCTTTTGATTTGCATTGTCGTTGTGTTTGCAATGCAATGTTGTGCTATGGTATGCTATGCTATGCTATGCTGCGCTATGCTAAACTATACCATGCTATGCTATGTTATGCTATATTATGCTGCGCTATGTTATGCTATGCTACGATATGATCTGATATGATGTGCTGTGTTATGCTATGCTGCGCTGTGCTATGCTAAGCAATGCTATGTTATGCTATGCTATGTTATGCTGCGCTATGCTATGTTATGCTATGCTATGCTATGCTGAGCTATGCTGAGCTATGCGATGCGATGCTATGCTATGCTATGATGTGCTTGGTTATGCTATGCTATGCTATGATGTGCTAATGCTGCGCTGCGCTATGCTGCGCTGCGCTAAGTTAAGGTAAGCTAAGCCATGCTATGCTAAGCTAAGCTAAGCTAAGCTAAGCTAGGCTAAGCTCAGCTAAGCTAAGCTAAGCTAAGCTACAGCTACGCGAAGCTAAGATTAAATTAAGCTGAAGTTAAGCTAAGCTAAGCTAAGCTAAGATGAGATACGCTAAAGCTAAGGTAAGGGGGCGCACCTGGGGGAACCGCGGGGCGGGGACCGGGGGAACCGCCCGGGGCGAGTTCCACTGCCCGGCCCCTTTAAGATAGAGAGTAAGAACCCTTCTAGGCAGAGCCCAGGTGAGTAACAAGAATGGCGCAAAGACCCAAGCTTTGCCGAAAAGGCCATCGGGTCCCGGTGCGGCATCTTTGGACAATCGTGCTAACTGCCTTCAGAATTTTGTGAAAGTTGGGGGACCCAGTGGCAATGCATCCGTCTGCCTACTGACTGCCCCGCCACGGACTCGTTCAACTGTCATGCGAAAGCTCTCCGAAATAGCCTGTGAATCTGCGAACTTCCGTCCTGCCAAATCCTGCAACCCTTGCTGCCACTGCGACCAATCCGAAATTGTATGTCCAATCAGCCTGGAGAGATAGAGGTGGCGGCGCATCCACAACGCGAATACTTTTAGATAGACTGTGTAGTATGTTATGGACTTTTGATTTGTACGCCGTGTGTCCAGGCTACAACTTGCTGCTCTGGTTTGGGCATCTGCCTCTGCCGTTATGATGCTTACGCTTGGCGATGGTGTTCCGCACGGTTGCAAAATCTTCAAGTAGTTCGGAGCCGCTCACACCTGGCAGCACTTGTAAGATCGCCTCCGAGACGGCATCGACAACCCCTGGCACGGATGTACAATAACGACGTCGCCAGGCCATGAGAAATGAGATTTTGCCCTGGCAGAACGATCAGCGAAATCCACTTTTAATTGCGTTGCTCCACAACCACCGCCCCTTGGCGAGGCGGCATCCCAACGGACATCACCACAGGAAGATGGTCAGAGAATCGCAGTTCCATCTGCGCAGCAATACACATGTCAAAACCATGGCCAACTTCAACCGCAAACGCTAAAGGCTCGCCACAAATTGTGTAATCAATCATTGACATATTCCGGGCCGTCCTTTTGCGTCCCAGAGGCGTGCAAAAAAATCCAGGGGGTAGCCCTCACCGTGAATGTGTTCCTTGCGCTGAGGCCGCTGGCGGACAGAAAAGTGCCGAAACACTGCTGCATAGGAAGGGTGTGAAGGAAATGGTCGTGCCAAGTGCCCTCCGACGGAGTAGTCCCGCGCCTTGCCGAAGCTGACGTTCGCATCAATACCGAGCAATTGCATGAATTGGAATCACTGAGACATGGCAATCTTGCTGGCTAAAGCTAAGGCTCGCGCGACGTCATCCAGGGTCTCACTGTGTTCAAGGTGATGATCCAAAATTTGCGCCGAGGTGAAAGCGAATCTTTCCACCACAACCAAGCTGAAGTATAGAGAGTGTGATTCCCAAGAAATTGATGTCACGAGAAACCTAGGCAGTACCACAGCACAATCACCGCCAACAGCTGTACGAACACTAAAGTCTCTGGCTTGATACAACCCCCTAAATAGGAACCTCGTGCAACGCACCTATCAGATGACATGAATATCTGGTCCGCAATGCTTTCAGCACCTTCTTGCACCTTCTGACACTGGCTCGTTGGCCGATTCTGGGTATTCCAAGAAACAAACTTAAGACGTGCGAATTCATACATCGTCAGCTGCAAGTTGTGCCACCTGCCTCAGGCGTGCCGCGAAAAAACAAAGCGTGAACAGGCAGAACATACCACTCCAGCACGGCTGCAACAAAGGCCCTCGGGAAATAGATCCACCAACTAAGCGAAACAGAAAATCATTGGCCGCGCGGCTCAAGACGCGCGCGCGCTGTCTCCACTTTGTTGCATTCTGAAGACCCGAAGCGTCATCGCATGCAGCATACGCACAGTAGGCCGGTTGCTTTTCAACATGTGACGTTCGTTTGGTTACTTGTTTGAAACAGATGGTACATGTGCACGGGTGGAGGGCGACTCATTTTCATAGTGGGGCTCTCCCTCGAGACGTCCTGAAGGCCCAGGGTCAGAAATGAACACTTGTGCAATGACTGAACAAATGGAGAGGGGGCGTTGCCCGAAACGGGGATCTCGCCGCACACCCCCGTCAACTGCATGAGCATGCCTGCGTGAGCTCCTTCTGTCCTGCTTCCAAGGATTCAAAGCCGTGCGCTTCTTTTTCAAGCGGGGCTCTCGCCTGAATGGCAGGCCCATTGGGTGCTGGTCTGTCAAGGGGCCGCTGCTGGAAGTGGAAAGGACGGCTCACACCAATTCGTGAGGAGGGGGCGTGGGACGGGAGGGCGCATTGCGGCATCGCTGATGCATCGTTGGCTTCCTCTGGTCCTCCTCCACGTCCTCCCTTCCTTTCTCCCTCCATCCTTCAGTCCCTCACCTCTCTTCCCTCCGCCCATCTCTCCTCCTCCCTCGCCCCTCCCCCCTTCTGCCTCTCTTCCGATCCCCGCCCCCTCCCGCCTCCCCCACTCCACGTCACCGACTCCGGCGACTCTGGTTCCGACTTTTCTCTCCCATCCTCCTTCGCCGTGGCGGAAGGGACGGGAGGAGATGAGGGTGCCGCCTCGTTCAGCTTAGCCTCCGACTCCATTCGCGCCTCGGTTCGGGCAGTAGCGGGCAGGAGGGCGACGGGGGGGAGGAGGAGGAGGAGGAGGAGGAGGAGGAGGAGGAGAAGGAGGAGGAGGAGGACTAGGTGGACCTTCAGGGGGATGAAGGTGGAAGAGAAAGAGGCAGGAGGGGGAGGAAGAAAAGAGGATTAATACAACAAGGAGGAGGAGGCACAGGATGAATTTTGGGTTGCGACGCTGATGGAGCTGGGGGCCTGTCAGAAAAGCGCAGGAGGGAGGGAGGGAGGCGAG